TTTTTTTTTTTTTTTTTTTATTGTAGAGACGAGGTCTTGCTGCCCAGGCGGGTCTTGAACCCGCAGACTCAGGCAATCCACTCACCTCAGCCTCCCAAAGGCACGAGATTACAAGTTGAGCCACCGAGCCCGGCTCTGTCCCCCTTTCATTACCTGTCCCTCCAAGGTCTCTCATCTCTGCTCTTCTCTGCAGGGCTTCCCAGCCAGCCCTCTCTGCTTACCCTTGTTCCACGTCCTCATCATCTCAGCTTGCACATGACTCTGGTGGGCACCCGACACAGATGTAGGTCTGGGACTCATGGCTCAAGGACCATCTTCTCAGTGTCTCTTAGTTCAAATTCTTGAGAGTGAATCCGAGTGGCCGTGGGTCAGGACGCTGCTCGTGGTCTGATCAAGTCAGGAAAGGTGTGGAGGCGTGGGGTCTATTAAGGCATCGAGGCTGGTGGTCACTAGAGATTCTTCAGGAAGACAAGAAGGGACAGAGGGATGTCTGCATGCCTGAGGACTCTGATGTTCAGTGTTGCCACCCTTACCAATGGGCCAGAATATGGGAAAGGTCCTTTCTACCACCTTGTCTTAGTCCACTTTGTGTTACTATAACAGAACACCTGAAACTGGGTAACTTACAAAGAAAAGAGGTTATTGGGCTCATAGTTCTGGAAGCTGGATCTCAAAATCAGGAGGCTGCCTCTGGTCAGCTTCTGGTCAGAGCCTCATGCTGCATCATAACATGGTGGAGAAGCAGAAGGGGACGCATCCCCTGCAGATAGTTGGGAATAGCAGAGACAGCCTCGCTTTATAACAGCCACTCTTGTGGTAAGTAATCTAGTCCCATGAGAGCAAGAACACTTCCTGGAGACTGCATTCATCCAGCCCTCGTGACACAAACATCTCTTAAAGGCACACGGCTACATTGGCAATTAAATTTCAACGTGAGTTTTGGTGGGGAAAGACTACATCCAAGCCATAGCACAACTGTAACCCCTCCAAGCTCACCCAGAGATGTCATTAAATAACCTTTATTCTAACTCACCTTTGGTGGCATCATGATTTCTGTTCTTAAATCCCACCCCTTTCTAAATGGTTAGAATGGTAACTTTGATGCTTATGTATATGTCACTACTATTTTGTTTTAAAGTTCAGAACTTCTGATGTTTGAGTTCTTGTAAATCAATTGTTCTCAAAGTTTTTGTCCCCAGAACAGCAGCATCAACATCAGCGTCATCTGGAAACTTGTTAGAAATGCATATTCTTAGCCGGGTTTATAGTGGCTCAGCCTGTAATCCCGCGCCTTTGGGAGGCTGAGGTGAGTGGATTGCCCGAGCCCGCGGGTTCGAGACCTGCGTGGGCAGGCAAGACCTCATCTCTACAAAAAATCAAAAAATTA